CGCTTGTAGAGCCGCGCCCCCGGCGGCCGCGGGGGTCGGGCCGTGCGGGGCCCGTCCCGCCCCGTGTCCCCCCCGCAGGGGCCTCGCCGGGAGGGGCCGCGCGGCCGCGGGGGCTTCCCCTCAGTGCGCGGTGTTTGAGTGGCGGCCCCGTCGCTCACCGGCCACCGAGGGGTTCCCGGCGCTGTGCGGCGAGCCGGGGGTCCCCCCGCGCCTCGGCCCTGTCGGGAACGTGGAAGCAGGGAATGGGTCGGGTGGGAGGGGACCTTGGGAATCGTCTCATCCCGCCCCTGCCGCGGGCACCGACACCTTCCGCTAGCCCGGCGTGCTGCAGGTTTATCCAGCCTGCCCTTGGGCACCTCCAGGGATGGGGCATCCTCTGGGAAATCCATTCCAGGACCTCACCACCCTCCCAATATCCCATCTATTCCTGCCTGCTGGCAGTGGGAAGCCATTCCCTGTGTCCTGTCCCTCCATCCCTTGTCCCCAGTCCCTCTCCAGCTCTCCTGGAGCCCCTTTAGGCCCTGCAAGGGGCTCTCAGCTCTCCCTGGAGCCTTCTCTTCCAGGTGAACCCCCCCAGCTCTCCCAGCTTTTCCCCATAGGAAAGGGATGTTTTCCATCCTCTCCGTGGCTCCAAATTGATTGGAATAAACCAGGGAACCACCACAGGAGGAAGGAAACACGTTGTTCCACGAGGGCTCCAAGTCGATACAAACAGTTTAAAACTGAGACTCCCCAACTGTGGCAGCGTCACCTTTAAAGTGCCTTAAAGCCCAAAGTCTGATGTCCCATAAAGAGGATTTCCCATTTTTCCATGAAGGAAAACATCCCAGGCCATGGAATGTGAGGGAATATCATTAATAGCACCTTGGAGAGCTTAAAAATATTTTAAGTAAGTAAAGAAATATTTAGCAATGGAATTGTCAAAATGGGGGTTAAACCCACAGCTGTCTTTTCCCTTAATTCATGGAATTGTTCCACTTGGGAGCTGCTATTTTGGGCTGCTGTTGTGCTCCTGAGCCTGGTGAAATTAAAGGATGAAGATTAATTTCCCCCAGGAAATAAAAGCCGGGAGATGGGTTTAACTAAATGAACCATAATGTTATTTTTTTATTAATGTTTACCTTTTGTCTCAGTCTGGGTGAATTAAAAGAGAAGGATCCCAGATTCCACACCTGGAATTAAGTCCTGCCAAGGGGGAGATGTTGGGTTTGGGTGGGACTTTGAGGAGGGGGGTTTTTGAAGGGGGTTAATTGATGCCCCTGTGTGGAGCTGGAGGCCAAAAGGGGACTGAAAAATGGGAATTTAATGAGGAATTTTGGAGGCAGGGAAAAGAGGAGCAGGGCTTGATGGAGTGGGAGAGGGAAACTGGGTGAGGGGATCAGGTATTAATTAACACTCAGGATTAGCAGAGTCACAAAAACCGAATCAAAAAAAAAGCCTAAAACACTGAATTTAACGTGGAAAATGTTTCAACTCGTGAGGGAAGTGGGAATTGTGCCGGAGGAGTTGAAGTTGTGCCGTGAATCCCGGGCTCAGGGAAGCCTTGGGAG